AGTAGGTTGAACAATTCCTTACCCTAGAGTGAAGTTGGAGGAAAGGCCCCTCAGCATTTTAAGGCCTGTCTGTTCATACTGATTTAATCACAGTAAAGATGTTTCTGGGGAAGAACTGAAATTCCTTCCACAACTTAGTAATGCCTACTTTAATGGCAGCTCTTGGCGACTTCTTCATGGTTCCACATAGTGCCACATGGAGGAAAGACCATAGCTGAGAAATCAGTTGAAAAACCCAATGGAAGTTTAGGTATGTTTTTTCTTCAACATTAGTCAGTAAGCCTTGAACTTTATTTACGTAAACCACACTTAAATCACAGAAAATTAAGACTTGTAATTGTGTGGCTTCCATTTGTCACAAAAATTATTAGTTTACTGTTCTTTTGGTAGGAGAAAAAAACATTCTACAGAGCTTTTTTTTTTGGAAGTTGAGGCTTTTCTTCAGTACAAAAGTCTAACTGCAAAAAGAAGATAAGGAACATATTGAATTAGCTGAAATAATTTTACTTTAGTGAGTTGCAGAGAAAGAGGAAGGGCCTTAAGAATCCAGGATCAGGCCCTTCAATATACAGAGGGACCTCTTTGTATATATGAGGAGTCAATGTTATGTTTAGAGAAGATAAGGTTTAAACTTAATCAAAGATTGAGCAGTATATTATTGTGTTTCACCAGAAGAGCAGAGGGATGGTTGGATGGAGCTTTCTGAGGTCTATGTTTGGGTGAACAGGGAACAGTTTATTGTGCAATGTCAACCTATGTTATTTTTGACTTCTGGTGAGTGACTTGCTTACTTTCTGGACATTTCCCAAAACAGTGAGTGGTCACAATTTAGATGCTGATAACACAATATTAGCCATTAATATTGTGCAGGAGGTGAGGGTGATCAGTATCTTGCAGGATTAGCTCCTAAATTCATGTGAGATTAGCTCTAAGTGCATTTACTAAGCTCAGTCCTTTAAAGTCATGCATGCCCTCAAGGGGAAATGAGGCAACTAAATTCTGTAAAAGGTGCACAGCAGGTTTAGGCCTGTCAAGTGGAAATTTGGGTTAGAGTGTGACAACAGTCAGGCAGAAATTGCGGACAGCCCTGGTCCCAATGCCAAAAATGGGCTGCACATGCAGTTTTTAAAGGTCTCCAGTGCAGAGGAACCTGAGATCAGGGAGTGGCTCCTTGGTCACAGGGTCTAGTGCCCTAGGACATCTAAAAAACTGCTAGTTGTCCCCAAACCCTAGGGCTGCTCATGGCTGGGCTGACAATCAACTGATTGTTGGGCTTGGTTCCAACAGCTTCAGGTGTCAAACAGGACCGAGGGCTGTCTGGCGTCAGGGCTGACAATCAGCTGACTGTCAGCCCTGCGTGCAGGACTGTGGGCACCTGACTTTCAATTTGCCAGTGCAGGGGGAGTAGAAACTAGCTGATATTGGGATCTGATCCCTGATTCTGAAATCACACCATCTGCCATGGACACATGGCATGGTAGGAGGTGTGATTGTTGGGATTGAGAATCAAATCCTGTTGTACCATTAAATTAATGTGCGCCAGGGACCTGATTTAAATAAATCTTTGACTTTCTCAGATGTCAAATTATAAGATTACAAAAGGACAGATTAATAACATGATAACATTACATGTGGAAAAGAAGAAACAGAGATCATATGCTGATGCCAGATTACTTGTATTGGGCTTTGGGGGTACATAATGACTGTAGGAATTAGGTCTAAAACTACGATAAAAATCTCCCTATATTCACTAAATTTGTGCAAAGTCACAAATGGCTTGTTAAACCACTGAATAAACAATATAGGCAGGGTTTCAATTACACTTTGACTCTTGGGGGGCGGGGTGGAAAGGTTCTGCAAAATAAATTGGGCTGCCCATAACAATGCCATAATAGAATCAGAGCCCCAGCCAGGTTATGATTTTCAAATCTTACAGAGGGCTCTCATCTCTTATGGGAGGGCTCAGCCCCACCCCTCGCCCTCTCTCCCTCCCTCCAAGCTCTCCTGTAATTCAAACCCTGAATATAGGGAGTTTGCAGAAAACACTAAGGTTAAGGCATGCCCTGAGCCAGTAACATTGTAATCAGCTGAAAAATTGCTTTTAATGCTAATATTAAGCCACACAATGTTTTCAATGTTTAAGATATGAATCTTTTTAAACATGATTTACCCAGTTCCTGTTCCTAGAACTGCAATTGATGTACTCTATATTGGAAAACATGCATTAATACAAATGGAAAGATTTTCACCCTTTATAAGGTATTTTTTTCTTCTTTTTTTGGTTAATGCTTTATCTTATTTTTACCTTGTTCTTGCTATATGGAAAGATAATTCTCTTCATGTTATTTGTTTAGCCAAGGGGACTGACAAGAATTGCTTTATGAGACTGGAATTTTAAGCCACCTGCAGGCTAAAGTTTTGTGAACAGATTCTCAGAAGTTAAACAGGGAATGGAAATAGTGAAGTAGTTACCATGAAGGTCAAGGAAAATGTGCAACTTTGGAGGAAAAAACACTAGCAGCTGATAATGGCCAAGTAAGTGGCTAAGTGGGTCTATTGCTTGTTATGCAAAATATACTTGTTTTACTCTTGCTTTGTAGAAAGCAATAAATGGTGGAAAAAGTAGAAAGCAATAAACAGTGGAAAAAGGAGTGGCATTTTCCCAAACCGTAATCATACACTATGCTGTGTTTGAGATGCCAGCCCCAGTGGATGGTGATAACGTTTAAAACGTGATCACATATGCCCTTCTGGCTTCCCCTCTGTCCAATGTAACCATAACCCACATATGGTTATGAAGAGGATCTTGAAAATAATAATCACAATGCCATGTGATGTCTGTCTGAGTCTGCAGTCAACCTTAAAGAGAGGAAGGAACAGCAGTCATTAGAAATGGGGGAAACTACCTACCATTATAGCAGTCAAAGCCTTGCTGCTATAGGGTAAGAAGCTGGCTTTAATTAATCTCTGCTGAAGGGAAAAAGACCATTACTGCTTCTCCAGGTATCAGTGCATACAGGTCCTGGAAGGCCCAGAAAGTATTAGGAGGAAAATTGGATGCTGCCCCCAATTTCCTCTGAGTAGGGAAAAAAAGTTGTGGTATTCCCCATGATTATGTGGACATCCCAGGAAATGTACAACTAAAATGATTGGAGCTATTGATTTCAGGCTGTCTGAAGACAATGGAAGATATTGCTGTATATTGCATCAATTGTACTTGTTTCACAATTTAAAGGTTTTCTTCATAAATATAATTTTTAATGGAAGCTGAGATTCTGGAGAGCCAGACGGCAGCCTCAGAACAAAAGAAATAATAATAAAAATATGGCAGGAGCCCAGATCTGCCCTTCCCAGTCACTTTTTTGTTTCAATGTGTTGCTTTTTGTCAGATACTGGGGTGACTTCTGGGGCAAAGGCCATCTTGGCACACAAGAATTCAGAGACCCAGATCCTAAACTGGCCAGAAGGCAGCCTGAAACAGTAGGACTAAGAGGTGCGCATAATGACCCATTCATCTCGGTTGTATATTACCTCAGACCAGTGGTGTTCAACCTTCTGAGCCCGCAGGCTGGATGAGTGGCACGGGGCTAGAGCACAGGCCAGATCTCACAAGTAGGGTTGGTCTATGGACCAGATCCAGCGTGGGGACCAGATCCAACGTGGGCGCAGTTTGCAAGTGAGATCCAGAGCCAGATTTTTTTTTTTTTGCAAAATATATATCTCCACCTCCAGCACTCTGCTAAGTGGCCCTTGTGGTCCACTTGGCAGCTCAAAGACACTAAAAACCTGCTACACAATTTGCATCGCGCAACCGTGCACCAATCCCTATACCCGTACCCCTACCCACTGCCCTCACCCGTACCCCTCTCCACCAGATGAGGCCTGCCATTTATTTCCTGTCATCCTCTTCTGTCTTTCTGCAGTACTAGTACATTCCACTTAGTCCCATTTTAATACAGTCCATGACTGTGGGGTCAGGTCTGCACTGTGGAAAACCGGGAACCTGCTTACAAACAGACACTTGGACCCTGCATGCCTGATCCAATGATGGACCAACCCTGAAGGCTGGATGTGGAGTACCACTGCCTCAGATGCTAATGGGGCACAGCAGAGCACAGGCACCTAGGGCCTTGTTACACCTACAGTGAGCCACACCAGCGTTGATTAGTGATGGTGCTGGCTCCAGTCTGGAGGGAGCACTGGCTCATTCAGGCCAGCAGGGGCCAGGAGGACTGAAAGACAAGAATCCCCCCACCCTGCCCTTCCAGACAGCATAACACCAGCTCCCAGAGATAATCCTGTCCTGGCCCAGGGCAACTGGGCACTTGACAAGTGCTTAAAACTAGTTTCAGGTGTCAAGGGACAATCCCGGGTTAAGAGCTCCAGCAGCTGCCCCCAGTGACTGTGTGACAGCCCTTAATCCATCCTTCCTCCACCGAGGACTTAAAAGCATCCTGCCCCTGCCACGGTGTGAAGGAGAAGCCCGCGGCAGTGCAGGGGGTGGGGACAGACAACCCGCCTGCTTGGAGGAGCGGGAGCCGGTTCCTTTCCTTACCCCCGGCCCGTTTCCAGGTCACCCTGGCTCGGCCCGGGGAAGCAGGCTGCCGGCAGCGCCTCAGCAGCGCGGGGAAGGGAGGCTGCTCCGCCTGACGCCCGCAACCAGCCGGGAACCAGGAGCGGGAACTGGGAACCGCCTGCAGCCGCCCCCGGGCCGGGCTGGAGGAAAGCCCCGCGGGCTCTCCCGAGTGTGCGCCCGGCGGGACCGCCTCAGCCTGCGGCGCCGGGCGGCGACC